ATTGAAAGATTTGTTTATTAGCAGATGAGATATGACACATGAGAACACACCTTGCTGAATCTAAACAGGCTAAGCTGATGCCCTCTGTCAAGATCCATTGGTTTATGAAAAGAAAAGCTACCATTTTAGCATCCAGTTCTAAATGTTGCTGCCACAATGTGGGTTAAGGTTACAGTTAAAGTTAGTTATATTACAGGTGTAGCTGATAAATGTTACAAAGCAAATAGCTTGACAATTGCCTTGACACAAAAGTGAGTGTTCTGATGCTTAGTTTGTACAATTAAACACCCCTGTGGCTGAAAGTAGTAGATGATGCTGAAAGATCAGGTGACAGAGCACACAAACACAGGTGCCTGGAAATTTACATCAAAGTAAGAGCTATGAAGAAAGAAAGTGCACACCCTAAACATCAATGCTTCTCGCAGTGGAGGTGTTCCTTCTGCCTTTAATAAATGTACCATGCCTAATATGTTACAAATGAAAACTTACACATTTTTCTTTCCCTGCCTTGGTTCAGGGCTCTGTATTTGTGTGTGTGTGTCTGTGTGTGTGTGTGTGTGTATGTGTGTGTGTGTGTGTGTTGAAAAGCACTTCTAAGTAGATGCAAAAAAGGGGACATTTTCCTTATCACAACAGAGAAGCTTATAGTCTAGCTCTTACTCTGACACCATTGAGAAATTATAAGACTATTGAGGAACATGCATGAATATCATAGGACATTCTGGAACCGGGGGTTTACATCAAGAAACCCAATATTATGTTCTGTTTATTTATAAGTAAAAATATTGTTTGACTTCTGTTTTGTTGACACAACTTAGACCAGACAACCAGCGTGGGCAAAGTTACCATGAAAATGTGATTATATATGACAAAATTTAAAGCCCATCTGTTTCTCACCTGCTGTTTATCAGGACTTAAGCCTTAGTTTAGTTTTCTCCTTAATGGCTTCTTTCTAATAAACTTAATCTCTAGGCTATCCTACTTTTGCAGGTGACATGACAATTATTGGCCTAAATAAAGGGAGATGAGCTCTCGGTATCACTTCCTTATAACATATTGTGGGCATCAACCTACATACAAAGATTCCACTCAGAGACTCATCTGGGTGACTGTCTATTATTTATCTGCATAAACAGTAAGAGCCTAAGACTCAAGGGGGTGATGGCATGATCAAGCATTTTCTCAGTGAGATGTTAGGAGAATTGCTTCTCATAAGCACAGTCTAATTATTACTGAATCACAGCTAACAGCAGAACATTTTTCAAGGTAAAATGCAAATGTACTCATGAGGAAGTAAATTTATAGATTTGTGGAAAGACCTTTATATTTTCATGGTGTTTTATTTGAGTTGAGATTTAATGAATTGGCTACATTACACCTTATTTATGTAAAATTTTGTATTTTAAAACAAATATAAGCCAATTGAGACATTCTTTAGTTAGTGTTCTTTGTTCTTTTTAGTTTGGAGAATGAGTATAATATTTTAGAATTGCAATTGCTTAAAATTGTGTTAATAGATGTTTGCAATATTTTATAAGTTATCAGAAACCATAAAGATTCTTTTGTTTCACTGTTTTATTAAATTTTTAATAGATCAGCTTTTTCTGATTACCACATGACTATATAAAAATGTTTGGTATTTATTAAATCTTTGCAGAGTTAATAAAATCTTACCTGAATGGGTACTCATCATAATTTTAAATACTGCATTAAATACTCATCACAATTTTAAATACTGTCTAAATACAATTTTATTGCTGTGTTTTATAAACAAACTGAACTTATAAAATTGGTTTCATATTTGTTTAGGTGAGATTGTTTACTGATAAGAGCAATGATTTACAAAAATATTAAGGATATGGTATTTCCTTTTCAAAAAGGGTTTTCTCGTTTCATATCCTATCAGTTCTGAATGTTTAAGTTTATAATTTTATTTTTTTATTTTTTTGGGGGGGGCGGACAAAATCTGTCTCACTTTGTGTCTCCGGCAGTGACATGGTGTTGGCCCACTACAACCTCCAACTCCATGCTCAGCTAATGCTTTTGTAATTATAGTAGAGACAGGGTTTCACCATGTAGACCAGGCTCATCTGGAAGTCCTGACATCAACTGATCTGCTTGCTTCGGCCTCCAAAAGTGATGGGGTTACAGGAGTTAGCTACTAGGCCCAGCCAAGTTTGTAATCTATTTAAAACATATATTCACAAATATAACCAGTAAATGTCGTTAGCTGTTGAAAGTAGTAAGTTACCTATTTCTACATTTAGTAGAAACAGTGTTCTTTGTGTCTCTGTTTCTTTAAAAATGAAAGATAGGATGAAATTAGGGTAGGTTAAAAACCCCAAATAATGATAGAGATTGTCAGTGGCCCACAATGCCATGAAAATGTCAAAGGCATAACCAATAGTAAACTTCTATGTCCTTGAATGTTAGAATATTTTAGTTCATCTTAAAATTATTTATGATAAGAAGTTCTTCATGTCATGCATTCAGAAGAAGTAAAGTCAGAAGGGAGGAACCGACCTAAACTGATCCTGATAGATGTACCTGAGATACAGAGGACACAGCTTGTGTTCATGTTAGAGTGATGCACAGAGACATGATAGTGCAAAAACTCACAAGCTTTAAAAAATAAGTGTTATATTTTTATTTTGCTCAATTATACTCTTCAGTCTAGAGATTAAGACATACACACACACATTGCTTGGCAAAATTTTAGAACTAACCCCAAATTTGTAGCCCATGGCTTGTAACCAAACCCCTCAAGTGTTTTCTGTCTGCTGTTTCTTCAGTGACACTTTCAGTCTATATATTTTTTGCTCCAGGACCTGAGAATTAAGTGTCTCGAGATCATAGAAATGTTAACAAACATTCTAACTGTTGTCAAAATATATATGTTTATTCAGTTATTATTTCATACCTATTATAATTGATTTTTTTGGCATTTCTGCATTTCACACTTTGTTTTTATGTAATAATCCAGGTTGAAAGTTATTATGGCGATCTCTATTTTCAAGGTTTTCAGCCATTGCCACTAAATCAACCACCCCCCTCATTTCTCACCTGTGAGTCTCATAACCACTGTATGTTGTCAGTAAGCCATCATAGGTCTTGGAATTTCATTCATAGCATATGATAAAATTGATAATGACCATGAAGTTATCAATATAATAATAAAACGTGTGCATTATTTTATTATTTAGGTTGCATGTAATTTTAATATAAATCAGGTACAATGTAAACATCTGTAGAAAAGTTATGTTATTAATTTTAAGTATCTCTACCAATTAGACATTATTATAAAAATGAGGAAATAGACTTTGTTTAACTTTATTTTCCCCAAGATAGAGTATCTTTTTTTTTTATTTTTTTCACAGAAGGGTCTCTCACTCTGTCACTCAGGAATGCAGTGGTGTCATTAGTGCTAACTACAGCCACAGTTTAATAAGCTTAAATGATACACCTGCTTTATTCTCTTTAGGAGCTATGAATATAGGCATGTACCACCACACCCAGTTAATTTAAATAAAAAAATAAGTAGAAATAGGAACTCACTATTTTGATCAGGCTGGTCTTGAACTCCTGGCTTTAAGCTATCCTCTTATTTCAGCCTCTTGAAGTCCTGGGATTACAGGAATAAGTCACTTCACCCGGCCCAAAATACAGTATTTTATGCATAATAACACTTTGGTCATATGGCTAATGTCTTCTAAAACACTGGCTTTTTTAGACATATGATCTGAACCTGCAAAGTTTGTAATCAGTCTTTTATTCTTGGTCCATTTAATGTTATCTTCCCCACCATTGTGTGTGTTGAAACTTGTGCTATTTAGAAGATAAATCAAGTATAATGAGAATATACTTGACCTGTATTGCTGTCTCTGAGATTGCTCAGGGTCTTTATTATCAGCACAAGAATACCTGGTTGCCACATCTCATAGTGAAAGCTCACATGTACATCTTAATGTATGTATTTAATATGTCATTTTTAAGATGCAATTTTCTTTTACACTTTGAGCAATCCATGTCGCCTGTATCATTTTTCTATTTTGTCTTTAACATGTTATTTCAAGTTTTATGGTAGATGTGGCAGATTTGCCAAATAAAAGTACAGAAAACACAGTTAACCTTAAAATTAGAATAACAAAAAACATTTTTATATAGCTATGCAGTATTTGCATATTTCTGTGTAGTATATGTAAGCAATTCTTTGAAGATATTTACACAAAATATCTATTATTTACTTAAAATTCAGATTGAACTGAATGTCTTAATACTCAACTTTTTTAACCCTTGTCTGTGAGAACTTCTTTTCTTTTCTCTAGACTCATTACAAATGTCCTCAAAATCCTCATTAGAAAAAAAAAAACAGATAAACTCTTTTGCATTAGGTTGTTATTTAACAGATGTGCAGCATGTATTAAAATATCTGACCTGAATACGACATTGGGCAAGAAAAAAAAATTAGAATTCTTATTTATGTCTTTTTTTTTCTAATTTTATTTGTCTCTGAGACATGCTTATAATATATGCAGTATATTTGTAAACTGATTGTTATATAGTTACTAAATATATATTAGTATATCAATAATAGTTCAAGTACAAATATTGTTTTGCTTGTACTAAACTGTTTTACTTTTAAGTGGAAAGATTATTATGACTTTAATCTGATGTAACCCTGGAGGTTCTGGATCTAACATGAAAGCAAAACCCACATATGGTGAAGGCACCAGTATATGTTGGTGGCAACTGTCTGCTGCTGTTTGGTTTTTGACACTGAGATAAATGTGTACCTGCACTAGATTATGCATTGGGAGATAAAAATAACAATGATTATATCAAATACACAATTTCTGTTTTGTAAACGCATCTACATCAGTTGGTATTAGAGCAGTGTTTTAACTCATGTGAATTTCTGAGTATAATCTAAAAATGTCAAATTATCTTCATTGTCTGACATGTTTATAAGTTGGTATAACTGTAAGTGGCCTTAAGCCTTAAAAATCATCGTTTAAGATTTTTATCTTAAGGTCTGAGTAATTTATTTGATAATTTGTGTATGAGTGTGTATTACAAAACTAAATTATTCTGAGCCCTGGATTAACTTAATTGAATTCAATAAATAGTGCCTATATCCGGGGACAGAAACAAGAGAAAGTAATTGCAAAAGTATCCCATAAATTTATAAAGTGTTCAGATACACAGATACTCTCTTTAAGATATAGCAAATTATCTTCAGTATTAAAGACCTTAGTATTTTTCCAAGGCGTGAAAGGATAACTCGGTAATAACTGAAGTCTCAACAAAGATTATCATGTAATCACTTTAATGCAAATATTTTGATGTTAAAAGGCAGAGAATGATAGTATAGGTCCTCTTAATATTGAGAGCTGTATTTTAGCAATCTTCTTCCTCCTCCTCTTGCACCCTCCTCCTCTTGCACCCTCCTCCCCGTCCCCCTTCCCCTCTTCTTCTTCCTCCTCTTCCTTTTCTTCTCCTCTCCTTTCCTCCTCTTCCTTCTTCTTCCTCCTTTTCTTTTTTCTTTTTTCTATTCCTCTTCCTCTTCTGCTTTCTTCTGTCTTTTTCTCTTGAGACAGGTTCTAACTCTGTCATGGAGGCTAGAGTGCAGTGGCATGATCTCAGCTCACTGCAACTTTTGCCTTTCAGGTTCAAATAATTCTCCTGCCTCAGCCTCCCGAGTAGCTAGGACTACAGGCATGTGCCACCACACCTAGCTAACTTTTGTATTTTTAGTAGAAACAGGGTTTCACCATGTTGGCCAGCCTGTTCTTGAACTTCTAACCTCAAGTAATCTGCCCACCTCAGCCTTCCAGAGTGCTAAGCTTACAGGCCTGAGCCACTGTGCCCAGCCTCAATTTCCTTCTAAGATAAAGTTTACATCAGGGTTCTCTGTGAGGAAAACAAAAGTTGGACAGAGCCAGGGTTTTAATAAAATACAGTTTTATGCGTTGTGATAAATGAAATAATGCCCCACAAAAGTGCCGTTGTTTAAACCCCTTAGTTCTAGGAATATATTTTGGTATATAATAAAGAGAAAAGAGGCTGCAGATAAAATCAAGAGTGATAATCAGTTGACTCTAAAATAAGGAGATTAATTGAATTATGAATTTGGTGTCTACCACTATACTACCCAGAATGCACCTGATCTTACCTGAATTGAGTGTGAACCTAAGGTAATCACAAAGTTCTTAAATGTGAAAGAGAGGCTGAGAAAATTAATGCTGTGATGTGAGAGTCAGATTATTTTTCAGTATTTAAATTGTGTATACACACAAATATTCTTAGAATATATGCACTACATATATGGTGTATAAAATAATGTTGAGGCTGTTTTAATTTATGTAATAGAATTATTGAATAAAAGAACTTTATAAAGACTTTTTAAAAATGTATGTAATCGAATTATTCAAGAATTTTATAAGATAAAAACATTGTTAGTGATGATTTTGAACATACAATAAATAACGATGTAAAGTTTTTTATTTTGAGATATGTGAAATATGTTTTTCTTTCACATTTTAGACTATTACATTCTACTTATGTTTTCATGGAAAAATGCCTTTTTTCAAGCTGGCATTGGAATCTTAACCATCAGCTTCCTCACTTTCTTCCACGTCATTACACTTTTCCTGTAATGCAGGCCTAAGCCCACTGACCTGGCCATTTATCATGTGGCCCTCATCCACAGTGATGCTTCTCGCTAAGGTGTCATTGTTGGCTCCAGGTCTGTTTGAGTCACTGTATTTTCTGAATGATTTCAAGTGTGAAGTGTTTTTCTATCGAACAAGGTGATATGAAGTTTCTCCATCTGCACTACCTGCCTCCTGAGTGTGCTTCAATCCATAATCATCAGCCCCAGCAGCTCTTTGGTGAGATTTAACTATAATTCTACCATTTTCACCTGCCATTTCTTGTTCTTTTTATGTTTTCTTCTTTTTCAATAGCAATCTTATCTTGTACGCTATGGCTTCTTCCAATGGACCCTGAGCAATCTTCTGCATATCAGTAAATGCTGTTCGCTTTTCCATCATGAACTCCATCATCAGCAGACTGTTCCTTATTCTGTAATTATGCAGAAATGTATTTCTTATAGGAATAGTGTTGCTGTCAAGTACATATATAGTGGTTTTTTTGTTTAGGTACCAGAAATAATCCAGTACTTTCATAGCACCAGCCTCTCCCCACGACTGTCCCCAGAGAAAAGTGCCACTCAGACCATCCTGCTGCCAGTGAGTTACTTTGCATCATCTATTGGGTTGATTTCATCATCTCATTCACCGCAACCCTGATAGGTGCATATGACCCTGTTGTTTTGGGTGTCCAGAGGCTTGTGCGCAATATATATGCCACTTTCAGTCCTTTGGTGCTACTCAGATCTGATAAAGGGATAATCAATGTGATGCTGACTGAGACAGGTTAACAAGTTATTTTATTAAAAACAGATAATTCTGTCACCAAATTATTTCAGTAGTACAGAGCTTGCTATCTAATTTAAATTAAATGTATGAATTTACACTTTCAATATGTCTACATACTTTTGAAACTAATGCTGCCAATTGTTTTTTTTTTTTTTTTTTTTAGTTTAATATACATGATAGATATTCCCATATGTTATGAGTGTCTTCTTTTACTTTGATTTTTAGGCCTTAATATGGAAAACATTTTTCTTTTTGAAGAATAATATTAACATCTTTCTGGTAATAAAATCTCTGTTTTCATTAGAGAGGCTGGGCGACAAAGTGAGACTTTGTCTCAAAACAAATAAATGCATAAAAATCTGAAGTCACAGCAATGGGAGTGTAAGAAGGGTCAGGGATGTATAGAAGCTAAGGTAGCTAGCAATTTAAATTCATGACACCAGGCTTTCATTAAATGGCATTAAACGCCTGCCTACAATAAAATGCAAATTAGACAAGGTCTCCTCTGCCTTCCAAAGAGCGTTGGCTTGAACGCTCTTTGTACTTAGATAGGTTACTCACAAATAAATAAGGTGTTTGTTATCTCGACAGCTAACAGTTCTAAATTGAATGCAAGGTTTCTGTCCATTTTCTACCTGGTCACATCTGAAGTGGTGGCGTTTGGAGGTCAAATTTAACCGTTTTGTCTGTTACATTATACTATACTGAATCATTTATGCTGTACTAGTAATAGACTATTGATTACATCTAAAGGCCCTTGCAACTCTAAGATTCTATTATTGTAAGTGTTAGAATGAAGAAGAGAAAATTGAAATATTACAGGTATATAACAGTGTGCTTACCAAATTAGAATACCATCTTTAATCTTGGAAGATTGTTTTCTCACAGAATGCTTTAGACCTGAATGTTTTTTTATTTATTTCATTTTTTGAGATGGCGTTTCACTCTTGTTGTCCAGGTTGGAGTACAATGGTACAATCTCAGCTCACTGCAACCTCCACCTCCTGAGTTCCAGCGATTCTCTTGCCTCAGTCTTCTGAGTAGCTGGGACTACAGGCACACCCAATACCACACCTGGCTAAATTTTTGTATTTTTAGTAGAAACAGGGTTTCACCATGTTGGCCAGGCCAGTCTCAAACTCCTAACCTCAGGTGATCCATCTGCCTCGGCTTTCCAAAGTGCTGGGATTACAGGTGTGAGCCATTGTGCCCAGCCCTAAATATGTTTTTCTAAATGGGTTCATGTAATTGTAGTGGACTGACTGTTCTAAGATCATGGATAAAGAGATACCACCACAGTTTACATGGAAGATGGTTCTATTAATCATGGGAAATATGGACAAGAGGATTTACATTAATGTTAAGGATATGCTACTGGGTGTCCACAGGAGTTGTCTAATGTATGACTTTACAGTGGAAGTTAAGCTACAAAAATAGTTAACACTGTAATTATTCAGTTAAAGCATCTAAAGATAAAGTAAGTCTTAAGGAGGTTCCCAGTTCCTGTTTTTCATTTATTTTAAAAATGTTCGTTATAGAAAAGCAGCATCACATTAAGTAATTATATCAAGTAGTCAGCTTCTTAAATATAGCAGTATAATATTAAAGATTAGCTGTTACTCGGTGAGTACATGAAGTGTATGTACCTTTATCAAATGCAGAAACATTTTAAAATCAGTCTTCAAATACAACTGGAATTTTCCAGCACAGTCAAAGGATGAGCTTTACTGTTGATTATAAATTAGTACTTTTTGCCAGAATACAAATACTAGATTTTTCACTAGTACAGTTTGGATAATATTTTGCTGCTATTTTTAGATCAAATGTTACCTCATCAGTTATTCATTCATACAGGCAACTGTTCTAATGGATCATCTATTAACACATATTGAGGTTAGCAACTATTAATCTGTTAAAGCTCACCCCAAATTTAACACATAACTTACATTTTCATAATTTTGTAGATGCCATAAGATATATGTGTGTTACCTAAATGTACACTTTAGTCCCTCAGGAGGCTTCACTTATTTGCATTTCTGACATGAACTGGTACTATTATTATATTTGCCCATTTATAAATTATAGGAGCAAAAAGCTCAGGAGATCCAACAATTGAAACGAAAAGAACAGTCCACGGAAACATCCAATCAAGAACCTGGGCTATGAATTTCCAATCTTCAACAACCTGCTATAAAAAAAATAACACATTAAACAATTGTAAATTGTGTATATGTTTTAAGATATAACAAACATGCTGAGTTAGAAGCCAAACAGTCTCTGCCCCTGTTACTGCCCCTAACTGGGAAGTGACCCTATACTCAGTTCAGGGACAGACACTAGCCTGATGGTCTATTATAGATATAAGCTTTAAAAGAGACTACAAAATATGTTCTCATCAACTCGTAATCTATTACAAGTGGTCTAGTTTGATAGATTTTAAAATAAAAATTAAAATAGACTACTTGAATATTTTACAATAAACTAAAAAATATTCTTACTATAGTTATTTTTGCTACTTATTCTTGCCCAGTAGTATTTACTTATTTTAATACTCTGAGAGGAGACTCTAGCCTGAGGTTAATTTCATGCCAAATTAAAAGTTCATTCAAAGGCTGGGTGTGGTGGCTCACGCCTGTAATCCCAGCACTTTGGGAGGCTGAGGCGGGTGGGTCACTTGAGGTTAGGAGTTTGAAACCAGCCTGTCCAACATGGCGAAACCCCGTCCCTACTTAAAATACAAAAAATTAGCCGGGTATGGTGGCGGGTGTCTGTAATCCCAGCTACTCGGGAGGCTGAGGCAGGAGAATCACTTGAACCTGGGAAGCGGAGGTTGTAGTGAGCCAAGATTGTGCCACCGCAATCCAGCCTGGGCAACAAGAGCAAAACTCCATCTCAAAAGAAAAAAAAGTTTGTTCAGAATAATACACATTAGAAAGCTGTTCATCTTCCCACATACACACCTTATTATTTTTGGATTTCGTAGGGACCACTTCAGTCAAATTTCATGAGCACAGACCAGTCTTCCCTGGAGCCAGCTTTAGTAAAGAGCCAGTTCAGCCGGTCCACCACAAGGAAAGAGCAGGCTGAGCCAGGCCATTGAGCAGCAGTGCCCCCCCTTTCTACAGCACCATTTCTTTGACCAGGAGTGAGTTTCTTTGAAGGATGGTGTCCTCTATAGGAACTGTGCTTCAAGCGGTAGGATAATTTATAATTTAGGGCATTGTAAACATTCTATTACTTCTCTGCTTCCAAGTTTTCCTCTGAAAATAAATCCCACCTCCCTGGTCCTAGTAGTATGAGCCATGACCCTTTTGCATGATACTTTGCAGACATTTATTAAATTCCATCTCAGTTTAAACCATTATCTAACAAATATATGTACTTTTAAAAACTTAATTGATAGCTCCAAACCTTATAAACTAATTTAATTATGCTACCACCAAATAGATACTTCACAAATCCAGAGCATTAAAAGTTTTTATGATGGGTGCACCAAAGTCTCAGCAGTCACCATGAAAAGAACTTATGCATGTGAACAAATACCACGTTTTCCAAAAACCTACTGAAATAAATAAATAGTATAATAAAAAAGAAATGTCTTACTGAAATTAAATCATTGAAATATGAACAAAAAAAGTTTTTAAAAATATATACATCAAATACCCCTTTTGGGGAAAAGGCTGTTATTTTGCCAAATTCATTCTTATCTCCTCATACTTGATGAAAATTTTTTCATTTTAAATAGCTTTACAAATTATAGTTAACATAATTTTAATGTACATTCAATTGGGAGAATATTACTATAGTCACAGGTTTAAAATACACCATAGAAAGAAAGGCACAGTAAACACTACTATTAAGCTTCATATGAATCCTCTGATATATAATACGTAACGCATAAGAACACCTTCCCTTAATTTTCCTAACATTCTCTTAAAAATGAACAAAAATATTCATTTTAGAAAAATATACTGGCAATATTTATAAATCTCACATTAGGCTCATTCTTTAAAAGAATTTTTGACCGGGCGCGGTGGCTCAAGCCTGTAATTCCAGCACTTTGGGAGGCCGAGGTGGGTGGATCACGAGGTCAAGAGATCAAGACCATCCTGGTCAACATGTGAAAACCCCGTCTCTACTGAAAATGCAAAAAAAATTAGCTGGGCACGGTGGCGTGTGCCTGTAATCCCAGCTACTCAGGAGGCTGAGGCAGGAGAATTGCCTGAACCCAGGAGGCGGAGGTGTCGGTGAGCCGAGTTCGCATCATCGCACTCCAGCCTGGGTAACAAGAGCGAAACTCCATCTCAAAAAAAAAAAGAATTTTTTTTTTTTTTGAGATGGGGCCTCACTCTGTCACCCAGGCTGGGGTGCAATGGCACGATGCTGATCCACTGCAACCTCCACCTTCCGGGTTCAAGTGATTCTACTGCCTCAGCCTCCAGAGAAGCTGGGACTACAGGCATGCACCACCATGCCCAGCTAATTGTTTTGTATTTTCAGTAGAGACAGGGTTTCACCATGTTGGTTAGGTTGGTCTCGAACTCCTGACCTCAAATATCTGCTCTTCTTGACCTCCCAAAGTGCTAGAGTTACAGGTGTGAAGCCACTGTGCCTGCCCTAAAAGAACTTTTGATAACTGCATTAACTATTATAACCCTGTTCTGCCTGCAGAAAATCACAATTTAGAAACAAAGTTACTAAGACAAAATTAAAACAGTACACCTACTGCCCTCACCTTCCAAATTTAAAATAATTCATTATGTCAGAGCCAAGAAATATGGCAGGATTATTATTCCTTAGAATACATAACACTAAATTTTCTCTGGAGTCATTCAAGATGCTGATGAGGGAAATGGAGAAGTGAGATTTGTGTAGATGCCCAATTTTGCAGGTGTTTTAACTGAAACAAACCTTAGTAAAGCTCTTTTATAGAAAATTCTATCAACAGTTCTGGCCCTCCATTTATGCTTAGTCTTACTTAAAGATCATGCTTTTTACTCTGCCAAAAGTAATGAAAGTAACTTCTGAACTTAGAATGGAAGCAGATCTGCATTTGCAAATACACATCACAGACCTCATGGACATCATTTTCCTTCATGATGTG